CTTCTTACCTCATAATGTGTTTCTGTTTTTAAAAAAAGGTAAAGATTTCTTAAAACTTCAACAACATAATAGAGCCCATACAATGTCTTGCCTGCGTCTCATCATTAGCCCACCTCATTCCTTTCTTCCACCACTAGCCTCTGGGAAGTACACCAGTCTCTCTCACTCCCAACTCTTTATCTCCCATTCATTTGGACTCAATGTGATCACGCTTCACCTTCCTTTCCACCCAGGTGAGTGCTGTAAATATTTCACTCGAGGGAAGAGGTGAGGAGGCAGTGAATGCCCTGATTTACAGTGATGCAGTATTTGCCAACTTCAAATAATTCCACCATGGCTGACCTAAAGTTACCACCTTGATGTCAGTCAAAGGTGACCGGGGCCCTGTGAGCAGGCATGAGCTGCAGCATACCTCCCTCTGGCCCCTACTGAGACTTCTCTTACTGGACACGGCCACCTCCTCCCCTATTGACTAACGGGCAGCATTGGTGACCCACCCTGCCACCTATTTCTCTGCCGTTCTCTGCTGGCCCCCATCCCCACTCACCCTAAGTGATGTTTCCAAGGTGCCTCCTTTTGAATCCACCTTCCTCAGCCTCCTACGCACCCCCAAGTGTCAAAGCCATCTCAAAGTTAGGAAGACTGAGCCAGTGTGGTGCTGCCCCTCCCGCCTCTTTCCTTTCTCAGCGCACACTCCTTAGCTACAATTTCAATCAGATTATTTATGCATTCATCACCTGACATCATGATAAAGTCACTTCTCTCCTAAGGAAACGCTGTAATTTCCCGGGTGACATCTTTTTATACCTTTCCTCTCCCCTGCTGCAATTCATCTCTCATCTATCAAAACTGCATTATTTAGGACAATCCAGTCATATCATGTCCTTGTTTTTTTTTCCATTTTTCCATTTTTGCTGTAGACTGAAACGTTAAAGGGACAGGCTGAAATTACCCTGCCTTCCTTGCAACGTGGTGTAGATACTAACAGAAATAAGATATTGATATAAAGTTACTATTGCTTAATTTTCCCATTCTGAGCACCAAAATTGTCTGGAAAAGGCCAGGTATATGAAAATATATAGCACTGAATTGTATTACTATATAGCACAAGATTGTACTGCTGCCATAAAAGATAACCAAAAAATTTAGTGCCTTACAGCAACACATTTATTCTCTTGTAGTTAAGGAGATGAGAAGTCTAAAAGGAAAGAATAGGGCTGTACTTCCAGAGTTTATGTGAGGAACTATTTCCTAGTCTTTTCCAGATTCTAAGAGGCTGACCACATTCCTTCGGCACAATCCTCATTATTCCAAACTCTGCTTCTACCATTGTCCCACCTCCTTTTCTGTCACTTACCATCCTGGATCCCCTGGAAAGGATGGATGATCACACTGGCCCACACAAGTAATCCAGGATTATCATCCCATTTCGAGATCCTTAGTTCAATCATATTTGCAAAGTGCTTTTGATATTAGATCAGCAGTCCCCACCCTCTTTAGTACCAGGGACTGGTTTTGTAAAAGATGATTTTTCTCACAGACTGGGGGACTAGGCATGGTTTCAGGATGACTCAAAGGAGCATAGAACCTAAATCCCTCCAATGTGCAGTTCACAGTAGGTTCACGCTCCTATGAGAATCGCATGCCTGGTTGATCTGACGGGAGACCTGGGAGGGGCTATTAATACAGATGCAGCTTCTAGTTTTCCCAAGCTCCCCTCCAGCTGTGGAGCCCAGGTGGAGAGCCCTAACATGAGGGACACACGAACAGGTTGCAGAGATTAAGACACAGGGAGCCTACAGCAGGGATTAATGAACAGCATTGGCTCTGGGTCAACATATCTGGATCCAAATCTAGATTTTATTAATTCATGCCCAAAATGTCTTAAACCCTTTTTTCCTAAAACTTTTTCTTACCTGTTCAATGTGGACATAGAAAGTACAAATTTCTTGTAGTTTTATAAAGACCACATTAAATAGGTTAAAACAATTACGCAGGATCCGTCACAGGTAGCAACATACACATAGTAGTAGTTTCCATCCAAATTGTGCACCAACCTAGAACAGTACCTGTAGGGGCTTCGCAGCCCATCAACAAAACTGACTTGTTCTGAATCTCAAATTCTGGTTTAGTATGAGCAATCATGTTTCTTTTCCTGTGTAATAATTCAGCTTTCTCTCCATGTTAACCAAAAAATTCACACAATTGTATTTGATTTGTCAAACTAAATTTCTTTTTTAAAAAAATCTGAGAGTCTCAAAATAATAACGCTATTTGATTGGGAATAGCAGAACATGACACTGGGAATATGCATGTTGGACTAAACTAGATTTATTCTAGGTGGCTGAGGCAAAGACAAAAATGAAGATTACATCAGTTAATTTGAAACCATGATCTTGGGTCACAGGGGTTAATAATAAGACTGGTATCATTCAGTGTGGAACAGAGTTGCTGGGTAGATGTCCTGGAGGAAACACTTTATGGGTTTGTGGTGGCCTCCAGGCAAGCCAGGGGCTCCAACCGTCTTCTGTGAGAGTTTCTCTCAGGCAATCCTGTGTCAGAAGTCTTCTTTCATACCTTACAGGCTTTATCTATATATATTTTTTAAAAAACTTTAGGTTTAGGTTCACATAAGCAACTCCATTTTGGCTCTGACAACTTTGACGTTTTCTTTCAGAGTAATGATGTATATTTCTCTTCTTGTAAGAAACTACATTTTTAGCCAGAACAGCTGATGATGGTTGGATTTCCTTGAGATTCTGATACTTTTCTTCTGAGCCCCTTCCTTACAGAAGTCTCACAAGTTAGCAATGGTCTCGGTACTGGTATCTGGAATCTTATTCTCTTCTGATGTGGGCATTCAATGCTTTCATCAAGCGTAGTGTTTATCAACTGACAGCTAGTGGGATTTGCTTTTTGTAGTGTACTTTGCAAAATGCTACTCGGTGCTTCACTCCTTCAAGCAGTGCTAGCCATGAGTACAAGATCTTTTGTTGCTAATTCTCATCTATGTGCTGCCAACCCCAGGACCATGAACAACTGGACTGCTAGGGAAGTGGGGAATTGTGGAAGAAAAATCATTCAGTTGCTTTGTGATCTGGAACTGAATCTCCTCGCTCCCCTCCCCTCTCAGTAGGCAGCACACACCCATTTCTCTTGACCACTGGCTTACCCTGGTACCAATGCTTAAATACCTAAGACTGCTTGGGACAGGATCTATATTCACATAAGACTTCCACTGCTTAAAAGGCCCTGGGCTCAACACATATTAACAAAACCAAACAATTTAAAAAGCGAAACAAAAAAGTACAGCACCTCTGCTATTCCAAGCCTTTCTTCCTAACTTCATCTACCCAAACTCACATTACTCTGTGCCACCCCTTAATGTCTAATGTCTCCAAACCTTAGCTCTCTGCTTTCAGCGCCGTCACTGTTCTTGTAGGGACAAGAACACATCACTATACCTGTTGTCACGACAAGCTTGCCAGCCTTCTCACCATCTATAGCCTGTAAAAGCCCTGGGCAGGGACCAATCTGTTTTACCTTTGGACTCTCAGAATCGGACCGGGATACACCGTTTATACAGTACCCTGAATGAGTGAGCCAGTGAGGGAAGGCAAAGCTCAGAAACGAGAGATACTAAAGGGTGTGTGAAAAGGGAAATAAGAACTCCGAAGAGTACCGTATCGTATAAGGTATGAAGTTTTGTGTGTGTTGCACTGTTTTAAGTTTTTAAAAGTGAATATCTGAACTTTTGTGGAATGTTTTAAAAATTATTTTTAAATTTAAAATGCTATTATTTTATTCATGAGTTCATTTAAATTATATAAGCCCTGAAAACCAAAAATTTTATAAAATGTTACCATTAGTTGAGATATTGCAAATGTTATTAAAAGCGCTGTTCATTAAAATTTAACATTTTCACATAATTTTAACGTTTAAACACATTTAATTTTACAACATGCCGATTTATTAAATCTAGATTTCAATGTGAAACATTTATAAATCATTTCGTCAAAGTAAAATATTAATGCACTATGAAGGTACAGAAAAATGCCAAGTGTAGACAATTGAAACAGGAATAAACTTTTTTTAAACTAAAAGCACTTGGAATTCACATTAACACCTGAAGCAAGGTTTTGGGTTTTGAGTATCACCTCTGCTAGTTGGATGATGTGACTCTGGCACCCCTCCCTGGGCAACAAGGCGGCTCCGCCGGTCACCGCAGGGCCTGCACTCCGGCCCCTCAGTCGGCCCCGCGCCGCCAGGTACCCAGCAGAGACCCCCGACCCGGCCCTCCAGG